TCCGTGGTGGGCAGAGCACAGATAGCCCATTATGTAGCTTTGTGCTTAATTACAAACAAATCTTCCCCACTTTCACCGCAGCAATATCTACTTATCCACCTGTGTATAACAATTTTCAGAAGTTTTCGCTTTGTTGGACACATTGTAGGTTGTACTTGTATTAAAGTTTTTATAATAGAAAAAAGAATGGGAAATTAGTGTTAGGATATTTGTGGTGCATAAACAAACCAGATAGAATTAGTTATATGTAAGTGCGTGAGAACATTTATACATATAAATATAAAAATGGAATCAATATCTTACTTCATTAACACACACATACACACAAAAAATATAATTTGTGGAAAAGAAATTGAAACATCTTGATACCACGAGAAAAAAAACGATGATTCTTTAAAAGTTCACTGGACTGAGTTCTGTGTCTATCTTAGCCCCTGAATTCTAGTACAGTATAAAATGTAATGACAGAAATGAGCTATTTCTTCGATACATCAAAGTTAACCATCTGAATGGAGTTTCTCGGCAGTAAGTAGTACAGAAATGTATATCCGTTTACTTTCACTTTAAAACCTTTAAATACCAAAGTTAAAAGTTCATATTACGGAAGTTTACGCGAGAAAGTTATTCTCGTCGGCAGGTTAAATCACGTACTGAAAAATGCCTGTTCTATTATTTTTGTAATCTCATCTGAGTTTAGAATAGAACGACAACTTGCAGCCATAAATGGTGTTATCGGAACAAAACTAATGAAGCATTATAAACGATTAATAAAACATTTAATACGTGGCATTACGAGTCATTAAGAAAACAAACAATAAGTTTGGAAATTATGAAAAAGGAAATAGCATTATTCTATAAACCATGCAGAAAGTTCAATGTAACTTTTTGTGAATACGATAAACTGTTTATAAACTATTAAAGTTTTTCTTAATTTATTTGCTTATTGGTATTCTGATATTTATTATCATTGTTTCATATGTGTCTTCTAGAGGGCGCTAGTTGAAATATTCAGAATTCTATGTTAAGTTCATAAGTTAAGTTTGAATAGTTCGTTTGACCAGAGCTATGTATGACAACGGCCATCAGGCCATAGGTTAAGTATGAATAGTTCTTTTGACAACAGTCATGTATAACAATGGACCATAAGTTATGTATGAATAGTTCTTTTGACAACAGTCATGTATAACAATGGACCATAAGTTATGTATGAATAGTTCTTTTGACAACAGTCATGTATAACAATGGACCATAAGTTATGTATGAATAGTTCTTTTGACCAGAGAGCACTTAACAACTGACCATAAATCATAATGCCTGTATGTTGTTGAAGGTTTATCCGTATTAAACTAATTTTTTAAATAGTTTTCTTAGTCAAGAAGCGAAATGTAATATCAGAAGTTAGTGAATTGATAAAATTAATTACCGATAGATACAAAATATTTTAGATTTTTGCATGAATAGGACATCAAGTGATCTTTTTACAGTTTATACATATATATCACAACGTTGGCAACATGACATGTGTAAGTAGCTCTACCTCAGTGTCTTCTCACATTTCGTACGAACGGTTTTACAGATAGTACTTCGAACAATAAGTTAATTCAATTAGCAAACAAGCTATTTACTACCGTTATAACGACAACTACTTTTAGACTATTGTCTTATAAGAAAGTTTAAATTGTTATAAATCATTATACACAAGACAATATTAAATCAATTTAAAGAAGGAATACTTTCTCAATAATTAATAAAAAAAAACTCAAGAGAAAGTGGAGAAAGAAACAAAAAGTAGCCACGTTTGATTATATTTTCCGTATTTAAACATCATGTGTAATGTATAAAAAGGAATACTATAGACTTCTAAATGTAGTTTGTCTTTCTGATATTGAAAACTCAAGAACTCCTTCCCAGCTTATTTATAAAAACATTAACCTAACTTAACCTCTAGGTTGAGTTACTACTAAGTCAACTTCCAATTACGTCAGCGCCATGAAAAGAGTCTTCGCCGTAAAATGATAAAAAAAAGAAGGACAACTCATTACTATTTTAATATAGGTCTTTAAAATGCAATCACTTTTTCCATGAAAGCAATGGTATAGACGCTTTCACAAGAAATCTGTTAATTTACAAAGAAACAGTTTTGAAACTAATATACGAACAAGCCAGAATTTTTGACAAACTTATACTTCAATCACATAGCCAGAGAGTGCAATAAACAGAAATGTATGAAGTCAGGAAACTCTGCATTTATTGACTAGTTCATTTTAATCTGAATCACTTAAAATTTTTATATAGCTAAAATATATGCCTGAAGCATTCTATGCGTATCAAAGTTTAGTACTGTAAGAAATATAAAATTTATTTTCTGTTAATTTATTCTTCAAAATACAAACTCATCAGTTTACAAACCGTTTTTCATTATTTTTGCTATATATTTGTCATTAGCTTTGCCTGTTTGTTTTAGAATACAGCTATATTGTGTTAGTTGCTGTGTCCACGGCGTAGAATCGAACCCCGTATTTTAGCGCTGTAAGTCTGTACACTTACCGCTATCCCACTGGGGGACATTGTCATTAGCTAGCGTTGCAAGAGGGAAATTTATTATGAATATGTTTGTTTGTTTGTTTGTTTTTGGATTTCGCGCAAAGCTACACAAGGACAATCTGCGATGCCGTCCCTAATTTAACAGTCTGACTAGAGAGAAGGCAGCTAGTCAACACCACCCGCCGCCAACTCTTGGGCTACTCTTATATCAACGAATAGTAGGATTGACCGTCACATTATAACACCCCCACGGCTGAAAGGGCGTTATAATGTGACAGTAAATCACACTATTTGTTGATAAGGCGAGCAGAGCCGAGCGCCCTAACCATCAGACCATGCTAAGCCTATTATGAATATCTGATTACGTATTTATTAAGCTTATATTTTTCTCTATCAGAGGATGGTAAAGATCAATATGTTTTTATACGTTAAAGTCGTCGGTTTCAAGTTTCCTGTTGAGTTTTGGTAAAGTGTTTTTCTTTCCTTCCCATTTTATTCACTGTTGCAAAGAATTTTGTTCGATGTGTTTACCCTAATAGTTGATATAGTTATATTTTATGTTCACGTTTGCAATCTCCTATAGATGTTTTATGTTTCTATGGTTTGAAATATTTTTCATTCTTAGATATACATATGTATTTGATGCAACGTTATCGTTTAGAATTTGGAACGTTTTTCATTACATTATTATTTACAGTTTAATGATTACTTTTACGTCATCCGGTAGGACAATGATAAGTCTAAGGACTGAGAGTATTAAAATCCATTGTGGCTTTGTCGTAAGACAAACGAACAATGAGATCTTAATTTTTACTAGGATTTATCTCATGAATCGAAACCATAAGCTCAGAATAATATTGAAATATTTAAAGATACCGTTAAATCAAACAAGGGTAACGCATATATTTCTATTGATGATTTTTAAGGCTTATTTCCATCTAATTTCTCAGAACTCGAGCTCGGAAACAGCATACCTTTTGTGTTACTGTATTGTCATTATAAGTAACGTCATAAACCGATGTGAATCGTGAACGTATATTTTTGCATAGTGAGTTACAGCTGAAAACAGCGTGGTTTGCCTTGAGAATATCTTATCATGCTCTATGCGGTGTAATAAAATGTTTATGATGTAATGAGGCAAAAATAAAAACAATCTTGCTTGCCTTGAGAATAACTCATTGGCAAGATACACCGAGAGCGTTTGGCACAAGCTTTAACAAAATAAAGACATAGAAAAAGACTGGAAAAAGGACAGGTCTTAAGATAGGCGTGACGAAATGACTTCACATATTATATAATGATCCAAACTTTATTTATAAGGTGGTCAGTAACTAAACAGAGACAGCAATATTACGTTTGAGCTCAATGATGTTTCTTGCTGAGTGGCATGGCTTCGTCTTCTTCTTGCAACTGGTTTCCTTGGTAGCAGTCTTAACTCGTGGATCTACTAGTGTATATTCATCCAGCAAAATCTTGGAGAGAATAAAACGTAAGCCAATGATAAATAACTCTAATGAAACTGTATAGATACAAAATATGCCTAGGGTGTATTTTTCAATCATGCATGCGGGACCGTATATAACGTTTTTCTGATCGTAAATGCTTTTGTGAAATAAATATTAGCATAATCGTTTCAAAATTGTGAATTATTCAATACTTTATATTATGACGTGTTGCTCTATTTCATTACATCATAGATGTTTATCCTAATTTTAGTAGAACATATATATTACTTAAGAATTAATCAGACAAAATTTAACAAAACTTAATAAACTTCACCCAACTCAGGTTTTATTCAAATAACTGTTTACGTTCTTTACGCACTCCGAAAATCTAGTTCGGTTGAATCTATTGTCCAATGAGTAAATCGATACCCGTGGTGGGTAGAGCATAGATAGCCCATTGTGTAGCTTTGTGCTTAATTACAAACAAACAAACCAATGACTAAAATCATGTGTTAACACTTTTGGTTTCGGTTTATAAATTTTAAGTTTAAAATTAAATATTTAAAGGAGAGATGTTAAAGAGTTTTGTCTCGAGAGTTACTGAGCTATCTTCCCTACGGTTTGTTTGTTTTGGAATTTCGCGCAAAGCTACACGAGGGCTATCTGCGCTAGCCGTCCCTAATTTA